TCCACATGAGAAGACCACATGTGACTAATGGTTTGTCCAAGTATGCATTAGCAAGCTTGCGTTGACGTGAGTGCAGTTGGGATCCCGTTGACACATTTTTTTAGGTCAACAATTACGTTGACTTTTCATGACAAGGCCTGACTTGTATAATCTTCACATTAATGCTCGATTTTCATATTTTCTAAGTTTAGATGGCAAAGATGCAAAAACACAAATTAGAAGAAAAAGTTGCAAATTAATTTCATTTCACACTCTGGGATAAACACAATCTACCTAAGACGATTTTCAACCAAACATTGTCACGTAGGCCAATATGGATTGTCCAGTGCGATATAGTCACACATTTGTGACGTGACATCTCAAAAAGACGCGACACTACCAATTAAGGAATGTAAAATATTATTACGAAAACTTGAACAAAACAGTATCTAATTTTAGATGGTTATTGAAACTAAGGTAACATAATCATCATTTTATCTTCGCAACAATGCTAGAACGAGGACATCATGGATAATGCTGTTTTTCAACTTTTTTCTGAGTTTAGATGGGAGAAGACGCTAAAACATAAACTAAATAAATAAAGTTGAAAGAAACTGAATTCCATTTCACACTCGGGAAAATTAATCGTAGGCCAAATACAAAAGTAGAGAACTACATCAATAAGAAAAAAATTGTCAAATTAACTATAACATAAGGGATCGTCTCCAATTTTTTGCAATCTCGCAACACCAAAAGTTCAAGTGCAGGGAAATGGTCGAATGAGGAATTCCATTGTTCAAGATATAGGCTATCTAATTTATGGAATCTGAGTTTTTGAGACTCCTCATCCTTTGTTTCTCAGGAGTAACATTCTAATTTCAGAATCTCCAAGTTGGGCATTGTCCCAACTAATGACATCATTTTCGAAGGCAAGCCGATTTTAGAAAGAGTAAGAATTTTGATATTTGTTGGGGAGTTAACCACTGAGTTATCACCTTTAAATCTACTTTCATAAGCCATTATGAGTGATTCAAGCTGAGAAAGAAAGTTGAGATCAGGACATCGATTGGCTGAAGATTTGCATTTAAGCTTACGAAGATTTGGTGAACATCTCAAGATTTTTTCATCTTCCGTATTGTAAATGCAAACGTAACAAAGGGTTTGTAGGCTATTTATTCGGGAGCTATAACAATTCTCAATGAATTTTGCAGCTTCCCCAAATTTGTTTCTAAAATGTACATGTCTCAACTGAGGCATATTGAGAAGGTATGTTGGTATTACACCTACGTCTTTCAAAAGAAGAACTTCAATGTTCTGGAGTATGCTTATTCATGATTTTAGTGATTGAATTTCCAAGTATCACAAGTCGGACATAAATTTCATTGGCAACAGAATCTTTCTATCATATACTGAATCCAAGATCCTAATTTTTTCTGAATTGTAAAGAATGGATAAAGGCATAAAGCCTCAGAGAGATGACTAGACCGATCTATACACAAGCGATGGCGATTCATAGATATCAAGAATTGACTAAAGAAGTAAAATAATAAGAACGTGGAGGATCATCATCAGTTTAACCAGAATCAGCAGCAACATCATTAACATAATTACCATAAATTAGTAGGCTAAATTGGAAAAGTAAATCGAGAAGGAAATAGAAAGAGAGTGATTTAACTTACTGTTGAAACATAAATTTTTCTTCTTCAGCTATTCTGTAGCACATATCAAGTACTAGATCGTGAAGAGTACATGCTTTTACTCCGTTGTCAGACCTTCTTTCGGAAACTTGAAGCAGGCTCCTGTTAATTAGTTGCATTAAATGCTATTCTGCTACATCTTCTAAGCTCTCCTGCTCCTTTTCCTATGAATCCTTCGGCTAATTCTAGTAATAATAACTTTTGAACTGGAATTTCCTCGTCTTCGTGGAATGCACTAAGATAAAGGAAACATGGCTTCAACTGATCTGATAAATATATGTAACTAAGATTCAATGTGGGAATGTGGTTGTCCGCTTTTTGGGAAATGTAAGAACTTTAAAAGTTTGCAACATTTTGCCACAAGCTTTCTTTCTTCTCCATATTTGAAAGAATTCCTGCAATTGCAACGATTGAAAGTGGGAGTCCATGACAATTTGCTGCAATTTGCTTTCCAATATCTTGCAGTTTTATGGCAGACATTCTACTCTATTAAGGTCCAACTTTCACTTGGGGATAGGGGAGGAGGTTCAATGATAACATGTGAAGTTTCCAATGCCATATTTTTTAGCCTACTGGTGAACAGTATTCTGCTTCCGTTAATATTGTCATCTGGAAAGTTCTTTTTCAAATCATCCCATGTGTCTATGTCCCATAGATCGTCCATAACGATAAGGTATCTTCTTCCGATTAAAGTTTAGTAAAGATGTTCCCCTAACACTTCATCCTCCACTTAGGAAATTTTGTCTCTGTTAAGGTTACTTGCGGAGCTCAAAATATCAATCAATAGCCTCCTCTTTTTATAATTTTGAGAAACAACACACCAAGAAAGCTTATCAAAATGGTCACGAACATCGAAATCATTGTATAATTTCTTCGCTATAAATTGTCTTTCCAAGTCCTGGCATTCCAAAGATAGAAATAATCTGGCGGCATTCTGGTCCTCGAAGAAGCTTGTTTTTTAATTTGTTTTGTCATGTCCTCAAAGCCCACAATGATCTTTTCTATCATGGGAATGCTGGGATGATGATACTTCACTCGGACTTTCTGCAACTTGTAGGCTTCCAATTCCATAATTCAGCTTCATTGAGACTGCAATGCAGCGATCTTTGATCTTCACTTTCACAATCTCAATCCTTTCCAACAGAACAAAAGGTGCCTGTTCCATTTTGGTCAGGGTAACAAGTTCAGTGGTGAAAAAGAACGAATGCAAGAAAACTCCTGCTTCGTTAGATACAACTTTGATTTCTGTCTATATATTCTTGTCACGTGCTAGCTCGATGCGTCGTTTTGTATCAAGAAGAAAAGTAAGCAGAAATTTCAACTCTTTCAAAAGAACTTCGACTTGATTACTCACAAGAACACTGGAATATGTTCGGAAGTTGAGCAATTTTTCAATAGTTTCAAGAAGAAAGTCGATAAAATTTTCCACTATTCGACAATCGTTGATAGTGCTTGTTGATCTCTTTTTTGTACCGTTGACGTGGACAACAAATATGGAGCCCACTCTCATCCACGCAAGCTAATTCCAACACGTTTAGACAAAATACTAGTCGACGATGTTTTGGGTTTGAATGGGGGATAAGCTTTATAACGCGAGACAAAAATGTTCGGACGCAATATATATGAGTGGGATCGCATGATAAGAATCAATCAATAATACACAAACTAAAAGCCAAGGTCAAACATCTAACTTTGCCAACAAAATATTCAACTCAAGAGGTGAAGTTATATGGCTTAAAATATATATATATTTGCATTACCTCTAAATGACATTGAGAGGATATTTATAGTATCACATGTGAAATAGTGTCAATTGGATGAGAGGACACGTGACCTCATCCCCTTAATCGAAACATCTTATCTTTGGTATCAATTTTATCCTGGACCCTGCCACATTTACAGTCAAATTATACAGTCATTTACACAGTCTACACACATGGGAAATGTGGGCCCCACCCCATGTGTGGGGACTGTGTAGATTAATGTACAATTTGACTATACATTTGGCATTTCCCTTTTATGCTACTAGCATGTAGCGCATTTAATGCTCTTAAAATGGGTCAACCACCCTACAATCTATGTTGACAATATTTCGACATATTACTCATTATAGAGGTCACATCAATCATTCGAACAAAATTTTATCAATAAGCGATCTTCAAAAAATGTGGGTTGTCACTTGACGTGGTAGTGCTTCGGATTTAGCCTTCTTGAGCACCACCATTTCAGTAAGAGGACCTCGATAGGTCCATTGCACACCACCGCTTCCATGAAACGGCTTCGGTAGGTCCGTTGCACTCCACGTGGGATGTCACGTAGGCTTCAAATGGGAGCCTCGATGGCAGGCGTAACAGTGATACCACTACCCCACAATTCCTTTTGAATTGTGAATAACTTCTTAAGCTTTGGAATGAAAACAAGAATGATTTCTAGAAAGTTTTTTTCATGTTCAGTTTGTCCGTATCGAATGCAATCGCGGACTGAATCATCAAGAGTCAAGACGCTTTAACAGATCATTGAATAAGTTGTAACGGAGAAATCTGGATTTGTCATTCTCGTAATTGAACCACAATTTAAACCCGTTGGCTCCTGTTCTTCTTTCCCCACTTGAGCTCTGCCTTTGCCGCCATTTGTTGCTGATTGTTACATAATTCCGTTCAAGTACTGCCGGACTAGATCAGGCTGCGAAGCCCGTGGAGTTTGCTTTGGAAGTTTACAGAACCATAAAGCAAGGCGGTTTCTTTGTTGCTGAATCAGCCAACGACGCGTACAGTTTCGCCTCTTTGCTTCAACTATTCAATTATTTTACATTGATTAAATCGAGAGAAGTTGATGGTTTCGATTCATCATCTCCATTGATTCATGAAGTCGCCTTCCAGAAAGAAAAAAAAGTGTTTTCAGATTCAATGAAAAGGAACAGTTCTTCAATGGTGATTCTGTGAGTATATGCTCTGTTCCAAGCCATAAGCATGAATTGATAAAAAAATACAGAGCCTTCTTAATTAGAGAAGAGCCATTGAAACCTTGGATTACATTCAAAAGGAATATAAAGACTGTGACATATCTGCCTTCCATGGTTGACATAAGCTTTAAGAATCAGTGTAGGCATGAGGTCATTGGAGCCCAAAATTATGGTTTGAGCATTGGGAGTCGGTTGAAAAAAGGGTATCCGAAACAGGATAAGCCCTTTGAAATTTACGCATTTGAGGCAGATAGTACTTTCCACGATGAGTATATATTCTCAAGAAAGGGGTTACCTTTTTGCCTTACGCACCTTGGATAAAGAACGAAACATTATTTTTTGAGATACATCGAGAGGCTACTATGAAGAATGGAAAAAGGGTCCGAGGAACGGGGAGGAATCAAGCTGTGCAGTCCTCTAGTAATTTTGTGAGTGTATTCGATAAGATTCAGGGATTCGATTTTGCAGTGTGGTTGAAGAGTGTGGAGAAAGAGGGGGATTACGTGGTGGTGAAGATGGACGCGGAAGGGATAGAGATCCATTTGGTTCCAAGATTGGTTGAAACGGGAGCCAATTGTTTGATCGATAAGATGTTGCCCGGAAAAGAGGAGTCCCGATTATCAAAACACATATGTTCAATGCTTGGAAATAAACTAACACAAACTTCTGATACAGAAAGAATGCTATATAACCACTCCCCATTATCCTAAACCATCCAACAAATGCAGCCTCTAGCGTGAATAAAAATTACGAATGTAATGGAGAGATCGTCACATGCCAATACAAGAAAAACAAGCAAAAACATGAAACACGTTGCCTGAAAATAAATACTTCAAATCTACATATGGTACCTTTAGTTTCCATCAATGGTCCAGGTTTCTCGGGCTTAAGCCAATGTTTTGGTAGGGTGGCTTACAAGGATAGCCTGAGTAAACACATTAACTAAGGTTGCATTGACAAGGCCACATTGTTTGTGATGTGGCAAAGTTTCGCCTCAATGCCATTGGCTTTCATTAAGTCAGATGGCAGTGATTAAGAAAGAGAAAGGCCAATCCCAGTGAGGCAGAGAAAGAGCCTTGACAGTTCGAGAAGGTGCGGACGAGATACCAGCTATTGGAACACAAGATAAAAACATGCAGTGAAGGTACAATCAAGAGGGGGATAGAGAAAAAATAAGCTCCATGGTGCATAGTAAAACATCAGTTACCTGATTTCTTATTTCTACAGAAATTAAAAAAATCAGGAAATCTACAGGCATCAATGCAAAAATGATCTACATTGATCACAGAATGGCCAATAACCATTTCAAAAAATAAAAATAAAAAACAATAATAAATTGAATTTTTATCTCTTTTTCAGTGAGAAAACTCAAGAAACCAGTGTCAGAATCTTTTGAATAAGAAGGAAAAAATAAGAGTTCAACATTGGTAAAAAGCTGTTGAAGATGTGAAACCCTCTCAAATAAGTGGCAGAGTAATAAATCAAAAATGCTAAAAAGCACCAAAAGAATTAAAATCTAAAACTCATTTTCTATTGTGATGTTTACTATGAAACCTAGCTCTTTTTTTTGCTAATTCCACATAAATCAAACAAGAAGGGAAGAAAATAATAATATCCGAATATACAGTTTCTTCTATGCATTCTCTTTGGCATATCTACTAGTCTCCTCCATAACCTTAGCCCACTCATTTCCAATCCTCTCTGTATATGCCACCTGTAATGATCATGACAAACAAAAATGCATCAGGGATAATCTTGCTCAGAGCAAAGCTTACTCGTCAAAATTATTACTACCGTGCAGCCACCAACACCTTTTGAATGCCAAAGACCCAAAAAATTAGGCAATCGCCTCCATTATATCAACCATCACCATCATAGCACATAAAGCCACCATCACTACAACAAAACAACTCAGCTACCATGAGACATACCCTCACGAATCACTTCTATATCCCTACTGGCATCTTGATGAGATAGGTGACCCAAATGAGGTATTTGAACATGAATTGTGCTAGTTATACATTCCTGGATGTCATTATGGGTGACATTGTGTGAAAAATTGTGCCATTGATTTGAATAAGTATTGTTAAAATCAATGGCACAAAGTGTTGTTATGTCAAACAATGTTATCCATGATGTCAAACTTAGTGTACCTGTAGCAAAACTGATTGTAACATAAGGGGCTAGGAATAGTAAAAAGATAACTGGCTTGTAATCTAAGTACATGAAAAAAGCAATTAACTTCAGGAGGTTTTTTGGGACTTGAATTCTTGACAAGGCGCAAAGCATCGTGATTAAAATGGCACATTAAGATTAATTGGGGGTTGAAATATGACAGAAGATCCTTAGCAAGAAATCATCGATATTTCCATGACATATTTGTATTGTCCGTATAAATATATTGGGAACTCTGTGTTAATATTCAGTATTCTAAAAAGCATAAAGTGTAATTAGGCGTGGAAGTTAAGTTTCAAGCTTTACGATCCTAGGCGTAAAAAAGCGTTGCATATTTTTATTATTATTTTAAATACTTAAATCATTTTAAAAATATTTAATAATTAAAATAATACATACCAAATATCTAAAATTATAAAATATTATATTTACTTGATCATTCTTAAAATTAATCAATTATACAATTTTCGAATTTTCGAAATGCAAAAGTTGGACCTTTTTTTATAGTTTCAACTTTTAACTAAACAAGTCCTACTTAACAGATTTATAGAAACTTCATTCACACTTACGAAATTTCTAATTAAACAGTAAGTGTCAAAATCATAATTACACAATATATATAACTTCGTAGTTTAAATCTTATCTCAATCTTTATCGAATAAAGTCATTTTTAACTTTTGTACAAATAAAGTCAATTAAAAATTTGAAACCAAAATCAAATAAAAGCCTTTTAAAAAAAGAAATAAAAAATAATATATATATTAAAGTCAAATAAAATGTTTTTTTTAAAAAGGGAAAAAATAATTAAAAAAAGAGCGCCTAGACATGGTTTGTTAACTGCTAAGTTGATTTATTAATTCGCGCTTACTGTCAAGGCAAAGCGTTTTGTTTGCACCTCACGTTGAGGAGCGTTTTAGAACATTAGTTGATAGCCAGTCTCAAGCCCGGGCTGGATAAAGGAAGCCACATAATACTTATAGCATATTTGGAAAGTATTTATATATTGTTTAAATTATAAATAGATAGAAATTAGTAGTGGATAAGTAGGGGTGGGAATGGGTCGGGTTGGGTCGGGTCGGTTTTTGCCTCAACCCAAACCTAACCCAACATAGTCGGTTTGATCATAATTTAACGCAACTCAACCCATGTAAAGGTTGAAACCCAACCCAACTCAACCTAACCTAATCAAGTATCAGTCGGGTTAGTCGGGTTGGGACAACTTGTCAACAAAGACTAAAGTAGGCGGACCAGGTTGGACAAATTTATAATTGACTCATGACTTATATAATATTTGGTCTCCATAGTTGCAATGAACAAAAAAATCTGAATTATTTTGGCACTTTATGCCCGGAAATGTTACATGGATAGATTGATATTAAATTATATGAAGTCAACCCATAACCCGATCCAACCCGCCTACACAACCAACTCACCCAACCCGTGTAAAAACAACAAAAAAATCAACCCAAACCATTTGGGTTGGTTCGATTTGTGTGGTTTTGGTAGGTTCGGGCGGGTTTTGCCCACCCCTATGGATAAGTGGACAGCTTGAAATGTTGTCAAGATTGGAGATGTCAACAAAGTTATAAATTGCACTGCATCCCAAAGATTGAAAATGGTTATTTATGTTCGTCTCCCTTATCTTAAGTCTTTTAGCAAAATAAAAATGACAAGCCTAAATTGACTGGAGCATC